GTTTATAATTAGCACGGGTGAAGCTTGAGATCATTGCGCTCTAAAACCAAGACTGCCAACACCGTCAAAATTGAAATTCTTAGATTACTTCTATTTTTGTAGATAAGGAAACCTTTGCTGACGTCATAGTCACCTCTCGGCCAATCGTGGAAGGCTGACCAGAGCGAGGCTTTTGATCGGGCTTGTCGCCAATACTCACAAAGCCTGGCAGTTTGACGACGGTGGCATAGAGTGCCGGGTCGTAGATTTGGAGCGGGAGGATCTGGTAGCACACAGCATCAAAGAGCCATTTCTTGGGGAACCTAGAGTTCCTGTATAGGCTCCCTACGGGAGCCAGAGTTGCGCATTTGTTTTCCCCGCGCCGCCACGCCGCTATTCGCGATCCATCACGTGAGGAGCAAAGCATCCGGTGGCGTGCAAGAAAGCCACCTTTACAGTCGCTCTGCCGACGTTTCTGGAGCCCCGGCGTATGTTCCCCTGCTTTCCACTTCCTTTTCCTCCTCTCCTGTTTTCCACGCGCGGCGGCGCACGCGGCGCCGCTATTCGCCAAATTTAGTCACGTGAGGAGCAAAGCATCCAGGGCGTGCGGGAAAGCCGGCGCTACGGCCACTCGCCAAGGCTGAATGCGCAACTCTGCTACCGTAGGTAGCTTATACAGGAACTCTAGGGGAACTTGTTCGCTACAGACTTGTTCGCTCGGGAGAAGTGTGTTTCGGCGCCTTGCCGCAGCGGGGTCGCCAGTCACGTGGCTCTCCTCTAATCCGTTATCTGCCGCTCTACCTTTTCCATTTCGGCGGCCGCTTGTCGGAGCGATCTGCCAGGCTTTGTCAGTATAAGAAGGCTATGATACAACAATCTGGACTGATATTTCATCCTCTAAATGACACTGAATTTGTGAAAAAGTCTATTAACGATGTCTTGTATTTCCGGGTGTGAAACACATGCCGTGGCACTGTTGTGCGTTGTGAACGAAGACTAAAATTGTTGCCGATGTCACCATGCGTTTGGCGAAATTCTTGTGTAACAGTAGGACTGGGCAGTATCAAAGATACATGAATCTTCGATACTATTTTTAGATACAGTTGAGTACAATGTATCAGACATCGCTTTCAAGAGAACAACGACTATCGGCATAGGAGAAATATTTTGAGAGTATCATGTATTTCCAAAAATACCCTATACCTTAATCAATGGCCTTATAATTTTTAATGCAGCCAGCGCTGTTGACTGGAATATCATAGATTGCCGAAAATACTGGCAAAGAATCATTTCCTGCAAACCACTTTTGGATGCTATCTGCAGATTCAAGAATTCTCTCTGCAGATGAAGCTAAGCGTAAAGAAAGCAACAGTGGTTGTAGGAGGTCACCCTTAAGTCAAGTTGCGGTGGTTTTTAAGGGAACTTCAATATACCTGTCATCACGCATATAAACTCAAAGAAAACGCTGTTATTTTGTGAGCACAAGGAAGAATATCACATGTTTTACGAAATGTGTGCATTCAAGGGCTACGGTTTCAGATACATTATATTCTCTCGATAAGGCAGACTACACGGCCAGCCCTGTTCCTCGGAAAGCACATGTCAGACTTGGATTTCTTAGCTACATGCAACATTCTCGAGTTGAAGGAGGAGTGATCCTTTCCTATCCTTCCTTAAAGGGCACATGCAAAGGAAAAAACAAAATATTTTGTTTGAACAGCCGAGATGGAAATTCATGTTAAAAAACGAACTTACAACTAAAGAAAAAAAAATTGCAGCTGTATTTACGGCGAAAAACGAATTTGTAGTTGGCGCTTGCAGGAGCCGCCGCGGGTCACGTGGCAGACCTGTGCGCCGTCGCGCTGCGCTGCCGCCTCCTCGAAGTCACACCACCACCGCACGCTGAGCGTGGTGCGCCGCCGGTTCAACGCGTTTTTCGACGCCACCGCCGCTGTCGCCGCGCAGGTTTGTCTGCTCCGGGGCGCCGCCGTCGTCATCTCACCGGCGCACAGGACTATCACGTCTGCTTGCACTTTTTCGGGAGTTTCATTTGAGCTCTAAAAGTTACTTATTAATTCTAGATTTTTGTTATACTTTAAACGAAGACGAATAAGTAACTTTTAGAGACCACGTGATGCTTCTGAAAGAGCGCAAGCACCACGTGAGAAATAGCGGCTAGTGACGATAAACAGCGGCCCTTTTCTGAGGCGCCCGCGGACGCCAACTACAAGTTTGTATCGCGCAATAAATATGGGTCTAAAAATTTTCTTTTTCGTTTTAAATTTGTCTTATGACTTTTTTTTCAACGAAGCTGTTAACAAAAATGTTTTTTTCCTTGGCATGTTTCCTTTAAGGCCTGACCACACTAGCGGGAAGGGCGCCGCCGTTCGGAGCCGCTGGGCGGCACCGCCGTCCGGCGTCCCAACGCAAAGAGGCCACATTGGCCTCCGTTTTGCCGCCGTTATTGTCACGGGACAACAGTGGCTCTCGCGATCGCGCGTGCGCCTCCCGTCGGATTTTTTGCTCTTTCGTCGTCTGCTCTTCCTTTCTTCCGTTTCGGCTTCATCCTTCGTTTATCACCATCGAAACCGCACTCGCTGCCTACATGATAGGTGTCCATTATGACCTGGTGATCAGCGTGAATGTGATCATCATAGCCTGCTCGTTTATCTTGCGACGCCGCCGCGCTCTGAAGGGAAGGAGGCGCAGATTTTGCGTCCGTCCGAATTGGTAGCAGAGCTGGCAGTAATGCAATTACTGTAATGAAATTACAGTAATTTAATTACTGGTTCCAGTAATTAGTAATGTAATTCATTACTTTTTGTAGCAGGTAATTTAGTAATGTAATGAATTACTCCAGCGACGGTAATTGTAATTACATTACCTAATTACTTTTTCGCACCAGGCATATTTTTTGTGTCCACAATACACAAGGCGCTTTTCTTTTTATTTTACTTTTTCTTTTTCCTTTACACCTTTCCAAAAAACGCTCTTTGGCCGCCGCTATGTTGCTGATGCTAATGCGGCTGGTGCGACTCTCGCGCCCGCTATCAGCTAGACATTTTCTGCCACTCTCTTGAACTGTGAAAACCCGCTCAGCGCGATTCTCTACCTATGTTTTGCGGTTTTGCATTCGACGTTTTCTGGCCCCTCTTGAAAGTTTCTGCTTACTTTTTCTGATGCATACTGCGTACCCTCTCTGTGTTATCGTCCACTCTGAGAAATAGGGCTGGTAAGTGCCTTCCATTCGAGCTTTTCTGCTCGACATTCTCGGGAAACGAAGGAGGGCAAGTAGCTCAAACCAAGGCCCCTGGTGGAACAGCCCTCGACGCGATTTTGCGAACAATGACAAGTGTTCTTCCCCTCCCAGAGATAATCGTCGTAGGGTCCTCCGTCATTTCCAAAAATACTTGTCCGGGTTGGAGTGGGAAACGGATCAGTCGCGTGCATTCCTCTGTCCATCGGTAAACATGCAACAGAGAGTTCTAGCTGTGTGCCATGAACTGTGTAAATAATGTAAATAAAGTTATCTGTAAAAGGAAGTTATCAATAGCTCCATTATATTTAAAAGTATACAAAAGTAATGCGAAAGTAATGTCATTACTTTTAAAAGTAATTTGTAATGGTAATTAATTACTTTCTGGCTGTGGTAATTTGTAATGTAATTTAATTACATTTCAGCAGTTTTCAGCAAAGTAATTAGTAATGTAATTTAATTACAAAATATGAGTAATTTGGCCAGCTCTGATTGGTAGTACCGAAACACCGAGGGTCAGGTCAGTGCTTTGCTTCCCCGACTGCGCGCCAGCGAGGAAGGGTACTTTCGAAAGTGTCACTAAATAAGCACAATATCGATCACAACGCAGACGACATGCAACAAGAGCCACGGAGAAATTCACCATGACTTTGGAATTGGTGGGGCTTTCACGGCTTCGGCCCTTTCGCTGCAGTAGAATTTTGTGCCAGATTCTTTCTTACTCTTTATTGCTGATCAGGCCGACTTGCTAGAAACCACGTCTTAGCAAAGGCTGCGCGAAAGAAAGCACTGGCAGAGCCAGCGCACCACCTGCACATCATTTGAATGACGTGCACATACTCGCTCGCACGTCTCAGCCTTCGCAGTGTTAACAAAAGCACGAGCTCTATAGCGCATGCACACATTTAACGTTTGCGATATTAGCGATAATTTACTGGCTCAGGAGAGCCGCAGCGCCAGAGAGACTCAACAGCCCGTACCATAAAGGCCGCAGTGCCGCGCCTAGATAATGGTGATTTTATGGCGATATAATATACAAGATGAGAACGACGAGTTCTTCTGATCGTCGAAAAAAACTGCTGCTCAAACTGTGGAAGTTCGGGGACGCTTGAGGCGAGTTGGTCAGCGAGCCGAGCTTACTTTGCGGCCTGTTCAATGAAGGTGTCAGATGGTAGCGCCCTTGCCAGTCTGGTCAGTCTGGTGGTGCGGTCGCTCACTGCGGTGAAAACACAGGGCTGCAGGAGATGGCCCAGTAGAAGTAGACGGCTGCCACCCCCGAGACATATATGTCCAGGGCTTGAAATGTAGCGCCGCGCTCCCCCCGTACAACTTCCTCTCAACATTGTCATCGTCGTTTATAATGAGGTATCAGCATCACGAAATAATGGCTCTGTGTCAGCATAGTCTTGCGGAGCTCTGGAGAAGCTGTGCTATTTGTTCCTGCTGGAAAAACGAGTGTTTGGAATGGCCGGAGGATAGCTTTGCGCGCCAAGAATTTCCTAGGCCATGTGAACGCGCCGCCAAAGCTTCAGACGCGTGCGTTTGGTGTTGCCATCTGCAAGTGCCACGCTCATTGTGCGACGCTGCATATCGCGCTGGTTGTGGCGCTGAAGAAAACTGCGCGTTCCTACGTGGATTCACTAGTGATGACGTTTGAGGGTGGGGGTTTGGGGGGGGGGGGGGGGGTGGAATGCCTAGTCTTCGATGTGGCATTAGATCACCGCGGTGTGCATTTATTGCGATAGAAAAAGAAGGCAGTACGCACGTCGACCTTGATGCCGTCGACGGGGAAGAACTGTCCGGGCGGCCGGTCCGAAGGCACGAAGCGGAAGAACTCGACGTCGTCCCTGTACCACTTGACCGAGTACAGGACGTCTCCCTCCAGGTCGTAGGCGCACCTCAGCCGAGCCTCCGTGCCCACTAGCGCCGTCTGGGGAACCTCCAGGGACAGGATACGGATGCACCGCGCTCCTGGGCAAGAGCAGAAGAGGCCGGTGCTCCAGTATAACGCCATCTCCAGCCGGCCTTATTGAAGCGACGATACTCGTCTACTTCTCAGTTTGTTACGCGGAGGGCTCAGTTTGTTACGCGGAGGGCTTATGCCACGTTGAGATAACACGACGGAAACAGCAAAACAGCATGTTCGTCTTTAGTCAGGTAACATGTTACTTGTAGGCTTTGTTACCCAACAATCCTGTCACATTGCACAAACATAAGCACAACAAGGACGACAGCGACGATGTGGCCTGAGTATGAGCTTAAGAAAAAGAAGAACAACTTAGGTTGAAGGGTGAGTGTTGTCCTGCTCGGTGGATGAGCAAATTTCGTGCCGACAACAGGGCAAAGCAGAGTGCTTTGCCGGATCAGTAGCCTATTGATTTCAAAGATTTTACACAAGTGAAGGCCTGGCAAACGTCATGTAACTATATTCGAGCATTATGAGTAGATGAGAAAATTCTGTCAATTAAAATTCGAATTTTAGGCAATTATCAGACACCATATTGCTAGAATACTAGATAAATCATGCCTGCTTATTCGTCAGAAATATGCTACAAATCATCCACGAAAGGGAGCAATATAAAAATCGGAACTTGAAAGCGACCGCTGCCGAAAATGATGGGTGATATTTAAAGCTTTGAAACGGCAATTGGAGACCCGTAGAATTCTTTTTTTTTTTTTAATCCTGCAAAGTTTGGCGAATGAAGCAGTCACAAAGCAGACAGGAATGTCAAATAGGCAGCGTTGAAAAATGTTTCTTATAGGAATAGCCGTGACGACTGAACCAGCAGTCACGCTTTTAAAATGATTAGTACTGCGCGCGCGGCTGCACAAAACGCGTAGAGGTCCACTTGGCTATTGCTTCTCTTAAGCCATGAATTGCAATTTGATGAAGTCCAGAGCGGCTTCATAAGCTGGCGTAAATCAGCAAAATAGCAGCTATGTCGTTATCCTCGGTTAAGGGCCAGACTTGTACACGTCACTAAAAAAAAGTAACCAATAACAATTACAATTACTTCACTGTAAAAACTAACTGATTACAAAATAATTGCAGCCTCAACAAGGTAATCGAAGAATTACCCTAATGTAATCGATTACTTCCCAGGTTACTTTCATTCAACTTTCTTTTTATTATGGTTCCAGAATTCTTGAAGTCTCGCGCTCAGCTGTTCCGAAAAAGTAACTAAAACAAAAACGCCTTGACCGTTTTTGTTTAGAGCTGAGTGAGTGACGCCCTCTCGTGAAAAAAAAAATAAATAAAAAAGTGCCGTTTCAATACATTACTCACAAGAGGCTGGATAAGGTCATTTTTCTTACTCGGATTTAGTCTCCGGTGTACAAAAAAAAAAAAGAAAAGAAAATGTACCCAGGAAGCTAAGCATAATGAAGTGACCTATTAATCCTCGAGGTCCCGCGCCTAACAGTTTCAAACAGAAAAAAAAAAAAAAATTGACTGTTGCTTAGAGCCACCATGTTCAGAGCTGAGTGACTTCAGCACATCTAACCTCCCCCCCCCCCTCCCCCCAAAAAAAAAAGAAAAAAAAAACGAAATTGAGAAAAAGTGTAATCGGTAATTATGTAATCAATTACAGCAAAAAATATTTCAATTTCAAGGATCGTTACTCCTTAAAGAAAGTAATTCAAGCTTTACAAAATTACACGAAAATGCAATCGATTACAAGTAACATATTACTTGTAACGGCGTTACGTCCAAGTCTAATTAGGGATGACTGCCTTGTCATAAAATAAAAAAAAAAAATTAAAAATGAGCGGGAAATAATATGAATGTCGATTTTATAGACACTGGCACCGGTAGATGTCGCCCCGTGGTAATTTTTACTCATTTAAACGCACTGGCACTTTGTAAAGGCACATTTCCCGCGACGCCGCACCGCAAGCAAACGAAGGTAAACAAACAAGATGGTGGAATGTTTCCGGTGTTGGATGCTCCGGCAGCTGGATGTGACAGGGTGTTCTTTGATTGTTAAAGAACAGATCGGCCAACACGGTTGCCGGGGGCAACACTATGTTTTCCGAGAGTTGTTGTTGCCTCGATGCAACAGGGTCGTCGGAAACATTTTCCCTCGTGTTGACAGTTAAAGTTGTTCAACTCTTTCTTCCATGTGAGAGCGCCTTTAGCGTGATGTACAGTTATTGACGCTAAAAAATATTAGCACAAGTGATCAACGGCCGCAGCGATGAAATCGCGACACGCGGCTTTACGTTGTTGCGAATACACCAGAATGAGAGCGACCGGGCCCTTCCCGCCTTTCCTCTTGGGAATGGTGGCAGGCAGTTATATTTTTCAAATTTTCGTTTTCAAAAAACGGACACTGTCATGCATGATACTTATCAGTTCGCTGGCGTAAACACCCAGGGATGTTAAAACAGTGGATAAAAAATATGTTGCTCCTATTAACGAGCAGAAAATAAATACCCCTTGCTCAGAGTTCTGCTTGACATACAAAAGCATGCAGCAGAGAAGTGGTCGTTCGAAAGCGGGCTTTGGACACTGTTGTTGTCTGCCAACCTATTCGTTGTCCGTCCGTCCGTCAAAGATTGTACCCGTCAGGCAACCTTGTCCATGCCTTGTTTCTGCGACTCCAGCGCAACGTGTCGCACTTCCGCCGATCCCGCTGTGGCTATACTTTTTACTATTTGTTTAAGTGAATCGGCCACTTAGGGAGTACAAAACAAATATAAATCTTTATATGAAACGTTTCATCTTGAAGGCGCAATAGGCATGGAGCACAAGCACGTGACACAAATGCTTTGGAATTCAAATCATTCCTTTTATGGTCTTGACTTTCGTTAACTTAGAAAGTATAGTTCGTTATGGCTTAGCATCGAGTTGGAAATCAATTCCATCTGTTCTGTGATCGCGGGGAAGCAGACGCCTTGTGTTTCTGCAGGAACAAGATACCCCATATCGAGAAGAAATGTGCAACTTGTCTCGTCCCCACGGTGTACGGTAAGCCCAAAGGTTATTTTATATGCCTCCCTAGGAAATTCGATACAGATTTTTAATTGAGATATATACTTGAAGAGAAAAGTAAAAAAAAATAACCCTAGGATATTGACCTTGTGTTTCATATAATTTATGTAAACAAATTGACGTCGACCTTTACCTTCAAACTCTTATAATGCATGAAATGCTGTATAGGAAATTGGCGAGAGGATTTGTGAGGTAATTGGTGGGGGAATCAGTGCGTCACGTCACGTATATTTTTCCGTTAAATTTAGCGGGGAAAGGGCATAGTTGTATAGGTCCCGTGACGTCGGGTCACATGACGTCGATTTCCCCCGCTGAATTTAGCGGGGAAATTCGATTAGTGTCTGGGGCACAAGTTGTGGATATTCCCGCTTAATTTAGCGGGTAACTGAACTTGTGTATGTGTCACGGGAAGTCAATATTTCGCAAAATTTAACGGGCGAACTTAGTTTATATTTTGGCTTCAGGACGTGAATCTTCCTGGTATATTTAGTGGTGAAACTGAGTTGACGTATAGGTTACGGTTTGTCGATTTACCTAAGGTGCATAGGTCACGTGACGTCACGTGACGCCGGTTTCCTTGCTAAATTTAGCGGAAAACGCATGGACGGACGGACTTTGACTTTGAACATGGCCACGTCTGCTGGCGATACCAATCTCGGTCCTGCAAAAGGTTTCTTCCATTCGAATTCAGACACTCAAAGAACGTGAAACGTGGGGTCGCCACCATGCCACTAGCATCCGCCTTAAAGAAGTCATGCGAACACCAGATCCAGAAGAGTTTTGACACTCAGATATCCAGGCTACTTGATGCTGGGTATCCGGAAACACTACTGGTACGAATATGTGAAAGGTCTCCCAGAAGTTGAAGCGCGGACAGGAAGGCATCGAGCGAACAACAAAGAAAAAGACTGTAAATCCCATAGTGGTAGCACCATATCCCCATGGCCTCATTCACCGGCTAAAAAAAGATCGCAGGCCGGCAAAGGGTCGAAATGATAAGCTCCGCGCCGAGAAAAGGGTATTCAGCAGGGTAAACAAGAACCAAGGTAGGCACCAAGAGGCATGTAACATCGCACACAAAACAAGGTACGTCCAATGTCAAAAAGAAGTCATTTATAACATTCCATTAACATGTGCAAGTTGTTATATTGGGCAGACAGGGCGCTGTATAAATGAGAGAACCAGGGAGCATGCCACATCTCTACAAAACTTGACAGCAGCAGGACACCTTGCAGCCTATTGTCGCGAATGCCAACGCGAGTCAAAGTTGTGCAACGTAAACATCATAAGGCGACATAAAAAAAAAATCAACTGATTTGTGAACTATTGGAGGCCCTAGCTATCGAAGAAAAAGGCGAGGACTGTGTTAGTGCCCCTTCCGTTGCACTACACAATCAGAGAAGATTTTCCTGCGGAGTGACATGAGTCACAGACAAAGGTAGAAGAAGAGGAAGATCACTTAAAGAAGACAAAAGAAAAGGGATGAGAACATTCCGACAGCAGAAAGGTCAATGCGTTTAAGGAAAAGAAATTCCGAATTAAGTGTAAAGAAAAAACAACGAATTAAGCGTAAAGAAAAAACAACCTAAATCAAGTGTCAAGAATTAAAAAATCGAAGTTAGTGTAAAGAAAAAGAAAACGGAACAAAGGATTAGTAGAAAAGGAAAAAGAGGCATCATTAAATGTTGCTAGTCCAGCGGTGCGAATGTTACATTTTTCTCTGTGTGATTTTCATGTTCAGCTGGCCCCATTCACAAGCAATGAACCAACTTGCTCAGCTTAAGCCCGTAACAAGGTGCCTTATATGTGTCATCGTTCAGTCGAACTTCAAGGTCATTGAGCGAAAACACGTCGGCGACACGAACGGTACGAAAACGTTTACGTGACCACTCAGGCGAACTAGAGGCAATGAAATTAAGAAGGCTTACTAGGCGAATTAAGATGATGACTCAACACATCGAGGTGGATGACTCAGCAC